GGATCTCTATTTGTTTTGAACTGTTCTGCATTCAGAAAAGTTTGTTTTGCAGTTCCCTCTCCTTGATACAATAAAAAATGGGTATTCAATAACCGGTATACAGAAACTGGAATATTAAAAAGCGAGCTGCATTCATGTTACAGGAAACTATTTAGCTTTTAGAAAACTGTCCTAGAATTACAAGAAATTTTATTGAACGTATTTTGATCTATTATTTATACACTAGACTATTCACTGTCAAGACAGCCTTCAATCACAATCTGAAGTCCCTTACAGACCTAGAATTTGCTGAATATAAAGTATATAAATACAGACATAATCACAGTAGTTCAAGTAAGTTAACATTAAACAAAGTAAGGTGTAAGGTTTATTACCATAACAAGTCTAGGTAAGTCAAATGGGGACACAACTAAAATCAACTTTTCAAATTAATTATATTTTTTTTAATTAAACCTGAAATTTAACTTGAAAGAAATATAAAATAAGAAGTTAGGGAAAACAGTAACCTGCCAATTTTATTATATTAATCTCAAAGAAGTACATGAAGGTCATCAAGGAAAAAATATGGTGGATGTCCATGCTATACTTTGCCCCCCAAAGACTTACATAAGCACCTTTGTAGTTCGTGATAAAGAACAATTCAGATCTTTGCTTATGACACATTTACCACTGTCAGACAACAAGGCCTGACCTCCAGCTTAGTCACAGATCCATATTTGTTACAAATATCACAATGTATCAAAATGATACTTAGAAGTGCAGATACATGAGGAGTCATGTATTAAAATGGTCTACAAGCAGAATCTCACGCTCACTCCAGTACCCTGATAATTTAAAAGGGCATTAAAGATCAAGCAAAAGCAATTTGCAGGCCTAATATAAAGAGAAAATTTGCCTTTGTGTTTTTCTACTACCTCTGTTTCCAGCCAAATATTTCTCCCACAGTAATAAAGAAAATTAGGTTAAGTTTTAAAAATACAAAAGCTCTGTACTGCAGCCAAATTAAACTATTCCAAAATACACTGAATTTGTAACTCACTTAACAGTCAGTCTGGCTGCTGACAGAATTTGCTGATAATGCTTTTCAGTATTTTAAGTCAGCACACAACATGTAGTGCTATGATATTTTTAACTCGTTGAGATTTTAGTTTTGCTTTATTTTTATTTCTTTTTATTAAGCAGAAAAATTATTGGTGACCTACTGATAATGTTCTCCCTTCACTGTCAAGTAAAAGATTAGAATTTAGCTGATGGTGTGGCATGCTTTCCCCCAAAGCCAGTGCAAAGAAAACACTGCAAACGTTTCAAAATCCCACAGTAAGTGTGTGCGTCACATCACGCTCCTTCCCTTCTTTCCTTTCCAATTAAAGATGACCATGGACAGGTTCTGAGAGAAATGCCATCTGCTCCTGCTAAGCCAGAAAGACAGCACCTACACAGTTAGTATTTTCTAAGGGCACACAAGAAAATCAGAATTGTATCAGAATTCTAGTTGTAACCTCTTCTTACATGTTTCAGTTACAAGGCAGACAGGATCCCACCACTCTGAATAAGGCCCATCTGATTCTAGCACAGAAATGTTCTTCTTCAAATGAAAAAAGAGGCTTCTAAAATGTGGAAGCAAGAACAGGTGGCCTGGGAAGAGTACAGGCATGTGGTCTGGGAAGCTAGGGACCAGGTTAGGAAAGTCAAGGCCCAGTTAGAATTAAAATTGGCTAGGGATGTTAAGGATAACAGGAAGGGATTCCACAGGTAATAGCAAATAAAAAACAGACTAGGGAGAACGTAGGCCCCCTCCAGAAGCTCTCGGGAGAACTGGCTATCCAGGATTTGGAGAAGGCTGAGGTTCTGAATGACTTCTTTGCCTTGGTCTTCACTGGCAAAGGCTCTGACCAAACCACCCAAGTCTTGGAAGGCAGATGCGGGGACTGTGAGAATGAAGACCTTGCGCCCACTGTAGGAGAGGATCTGGTTCGAGACCACCTTAAAAATCTGAATGTGCACATGGGACCTGATGAAATCCATCCGCGGTTCCTGAAGGAGATGGCGAATGACATTGCGAAGCCACTGTCCATCATATTTGAAAAATCATGGCAGTCAGGTGAAGTTTCTGAAGACTGGAAAAAGGGAAATATAACCCCCATTTTCAAGAAGGGGAAAACGGATGACCCAGGGAATTACAGAGCAGTCAGTCTCACCTCTGTGCCTGGCAAAATCTTGGAGCAGATTCTCCTGGAAGGCATGCTAAGGCACATGAAAAACAACAAGGTGCTTGGTGACAGCCAGCATGGCTTCACTAAGGGGAAATCCTGCCTGACCAATCTGGTGGCCTTCTATGATGGGGCTACAGAACTGATGGACAGAGGGAGAGCAGTTGATGTCATCTACCTGGATTTCTGCAAAGCGTTCAACACTGTCCCACACGACATCCTTGTCTCTAAATTGGAGAGACATCAATTTGATAGGTGGACCACTCGGTGGATAAAGAACTGACTGGATGGCTGCACACAAAGAGTTGTGGTCAATGGGTCAATGTCCAGCTGGAGACCAGTAACGAGTGGTGTCCCTCAGGGATCGGTGTCAGGACTGGCCTTGTTTAACATCTTCGTCGCTGACATGGACAGTGGAATTGAGTGCACCCTCAGCAAGTTTGCCGATGACACCAAGCTGTGTGGTTTGGTTGATATGCTGGAGGGAAGGAAGGAACCTTGACACACTTGTGAGGTGGGCTGATGCCAACCTCATGAAGTTTAACCATGAGAAGTGCAAGGTCCTTCACCTGGGTCAGAGCAATCCCAGGCACAGCTACAGGTTGGGCAGAGAAGAGATTCAGAGCAGTCCTGCAGAGAAGGACTTGGGGGGTGCTGGTCGATGAGAAAATGGACATGAGCCAGCTTCAGTGTGCGCTCACAGCCCAGAAAGCCAACCGTATCCTGGGCTGCATCAAAAGGAGCGTGACCAGCAGGTCGAAGGAGGTGATCCTGGCCCTCTACTCTGCTCTCATGAGACCTCACCTGGAGTACTGTGTGCAGTTCTGGTGTCCTCAGCATAAAAAGGGCATGGAACTGTTGGAACAAGTCCAGAGAAGAGCCACGAGGATGATCAGGGGACTGGAGCACCTCCCGTATGAAGATACGATCTAAAGGTCCTTTCTAACCCTAACCATTCTATGATTCTATGATTCTGGGTACAGCTACTACTACTCTTGTGCAATATATAAAATACACACATGCAACAAAGACACAACTTTTAAATCTCCTTTTCATTCACTCCATTAGCACCATTTTAATTTTCAAGGAATGATGGAAGGGCAGATAAAAGTTTTCTGCGCATTTTCATCATCTTTTTTCTCTTAAGATTACTCTTCACTGTTTTAAAACATCAATACCTGTGAGAAAAGCCTGTTTGATCAGATCAATGGTACAGCTGTTCCCAAGTTTCAAGTCTCAGCTCTAAGACTGAAGGCTTATACATGTGGGTTAAGTCACTTAGCTGTTACATTTTCAGTTAAACCATGAAACGGAAACCACAGCTACACTCAAGGGATATTAAACTATCAAATGCTATTTCATAAAATGTCTTGAAGGTGAAGAATTCTGCAAACATTGTATTTACTATTACAATAAATAATCTCAGAATAAAGATAAAGCAAACTAGTTAGAAGATACGAAGAAAAGATACATAAAAAATACCCCAATAATCTTTCTTTAAGGTTTTAGGAAAAAGGTAGTAGGATTTAGTTTGAGGACAGTGGATTTCATTCTAGATCGACTTTTTCCCCATTTGTGTTTTGGACATAACATGAGACTTAACATTCTTCTCCTTGTGAAAGCCTGTAGACAGGCACCATTTTTTTAAGGGAAAGCACAGGACCATTAGCACTATAATTCAGTGTCTTTCTTTTTTGCCTGGTCCCTTCAGCACCATTTTACAAAGCAGGACTATGAGACACATCAACCTTTTTTGATCAGTAAAGTAAGTTAATTTAACATTCATTTAATTTAAATACGTGTCATTACTTTCTTGGTCTGGCATCTTATTTGACTGTATTAACAGATACCATAAATAGTCAACCTGGACTTTTGAGCAAGCATAGCTGAGATCTGTACTATGGTGGTGGGTGAGGACACAGGAGAAACCCACTGATCACAATTCAGAACAACTTTCTAGTTTTTTGTGTACAAACGGTGCCTTAATTTCTAGCCACTCTGGACTGTGAGCAAATGCCCAAATTTTGGTAAATTCATTCCACTGAGGTCAAATAAGTTCCTTCCTACATGAATGTAATTTTCCCTTGTTTCCATATGCTGATGAATCATTACTGGATCCTTCTTTTTCCCAAAAATAGTCTGGAAAGAGGGAAAAGAAATTATGACCGCAGGACCAAAATTCCCCCATAGTGGCAGAAGCATGACAAGTACTTTAGCAACATGTCCTGTTTCCTCTGCCTTCAGCTTTGGCACCAAGAGCAGAGAGGACGGAAAAACAAAACACCAAGCACTACAACAGACTTGTGGCATTGCTGCTGACCATACTGCCAATTAGATAAATCATAACACACTAGAGTGTGTTTTCTGAAAACCCTAAATCACATAGCAACTGTAAAAGCATACGTTTTCGCAATAGCAGTTCTCATGAAATGTATATTTTTGGTCCAAGTCTAATTCAGAGCTGAGTTATTACTGAGGACAGCTGAGTTTTGTAACCCTGGCATGATAATGGACTATTTCCTGACTAATTTACTTTCATCAATGTACTGTGTATTTATGATTTGCACTTTCATAATCTACTACACACCTCTTTTCAGAACATTTCCAGTCAGATGAACCTGTTTAAAGATTATGAATGTATTATGCACCAATGTACCACTTTACTTGATATATATGAAGAGGGGAATACCAAATGTACTACTATCTTTAATAAAATACTGCTTATTGTTTTCTAACTTGTTATAAATTATTACATTCTTGGCTATAAATTCCATAAGAAGAAATACTTACTACTGTGCACAGTCAATCAGCTGATATTCATTTGACCTCTCGAAGCATGCCTTTACACCTTCATCATCCCAAAGCTTTTTTGCATGTTCGAAGAATTCCTGAAAATTGGAAAAGCAACAAATAAGAGATAAATTTTCAATCTTTTCAATCCCAATTTATATGTATTGCTCCTTCCCCCCAACCTACGTGCTTTACAGTTTCCTGTAATGATAGATTAAACCTATTATTATTAAAGCACTAAACATTTATTAGCAAAACTGCAGTAAAATATATATACTTAACATGACTGCTGACAGTTTCCCTTACATGATACGTAATGAAGACCGCCTTCAAAATTCATGCCAGTTCATATATAAAATTTACTCTAAGTACGAGTATTACCTAGAAGCACATTCACTTATTTTTTTAACTGGATTTACCCTTCTGTCATGGAAAAGGCATAAAAGGTGCATAAAGCTGCTCAACTTATAAATATTAGCTTCCCTGAGAAAGAACCAGTCTGTAACTTTAAAAAGATTATGTAGTTTTTCCTGAAAAACACAACTTTCTGCTGCTTGGTATTTTCTCATGCAACATAATAATGTGATTGCAAGACTTTCAGAGTCTCTGCTAAACTCCGCTTCCTCCAAGCAGCCACCTGGCACAACGTGCTTTTCCTAGCAGCTATCCTGGGCAACTCAATCCGAAAGTACCTGCCAGCAAGCTTATTTCGGAATTATTTGAAAGAGGACTCAAAGCTGTTGCTGGTGATGGTGAAGCCATAGCTCTATTGTAAAAAGCACGCACACATCCTGCCTGCCAGCTCTTTTGCCCCTCCAGCCCCTGCTGTAGAGCCTCACACACTCCAGCTTGTTTTAAAGCTGGGAGTCCATTTTATGTTTTATCATTGCTCGTAAGTCAAACTGTAACTGAGCTTTTCCAGCTACTACTTTCTAAAATCAAATGAAGAACGGTTAGACAAATTACTATTTCCTTTATTATATGGCTCTTTCCTCTGGCAAACTGAACTGTTAAAGGAGTAAGTCAACTTAAACACAGAAGTTCTTTGTAATCTCTTAACACCTCAGTACTGTTACCTCATCATCAGAGTCCTTCAGCTCTGCTACCTAATCATCAGAGTCAGTTCTGCGTAACATAGGTGTTCTACCACTATTCACTTCATGAGCCTGCCAAGATGTTGTGTAAATATCAGAATTCTGAAACTTTCTGAAATTGTTTGCCAGTCCCTCCCAACACCTTTTCAGGATTAAAAACTCTCAAAACACACAGTTTGCAGCAAAAGATCTTAGCAGCACAGTGAATTCACTTTTACTCTGTATGGGTTTCCCAACCTTGCATGCCACCCCTGCGAAGTGACCCTGAAGGTGACAATCTGCTCCTCAGCCTGTGCCCTGCTGGTGACCTTTTCAGGGAGAAGCAAAACGCAAGACAAGATTTTCAGAACAAACTTGTACTGAAAATTATTTAGTTGAGCTTTGAACATGGCTACAGAGTCCTGAATCACCTCAGAAATGCTTTTTTCTTTTTAACTATACTGTGCACAATTGAAAGAGAGAATACCATTCTTTAAGACGTTTTCAAAACTTCAGAGAAAAGATGATGTTAAAGCAGGCATGAAAAACCTTCACAGAAAGCCTTGGGAGAAGAGAGGAAGCAACGCTAGACTGGCAGACGCTTATACTGCCTTGGCATATATTTCTTCACCCTCAGGAGGACATGTTTATTTTGCCTTTGTTATTTTAATGACTTATGTAATGATTGTTTAAAACACTGCAGAGCCACCTTCTCAAGTTATGCTACGGCTATTATAAACTCTGTTCCTACATCAGAAGGAAAGAAAAACAGGCTCAAGAAAGGACAAGATATCAAACTAAATAAGCAGGAGAAAATGGGTATGTATAACAAAGAGCATGACTATGAGAAAAAGAACTTTTGGAAAAGCCAAAATGAAAACAGACTTGAAGCTTATGCTCGATTGATACTCAAGGCATCAGCTGAATGTATCTCACTTGTTGCAATCTTTTGTGCAAAGAAAGTTACTGACTTTTCAATAGAAACAGCGAGCTCTGGATAAGTGTCAGGGTCCTGGGACAAAACGACCCAGCTTTTCCATCCCCTTCAATGGACAGCAGCATACAGCCTCAGCCGTTCCTTCTGCAGGTGCTTGCTGCTGCAGGTTCAGGTGCTGAGTACAGTGCGGCTGCTTTCCCCTCCTCACCGCTGGTGGGTGGAAATTCCCACCCACTGGAAAGCCACCTCTGAGGGGAATCTACATCTAAAAAATGGCCCTATTCAGCCCCACATAGCCTACGGGAAGGGGATGGGCAGAGGAGAAGGATGTCAGCATGAAAGCATCCTTTTCTGCAGGGTGGGATGGATTGAGAGGTAGCTGCAGATGTAGATAAATAATAAATAAATAAAACTTCAGAGCTACAGTAGTTTCCAACATCACTTCTGTTTTTACATCCTCCATATGAGCTTTATTTACTTTTAAAAATCTCTTCTGGAACAGAGCCAATCCTTTCAGCTCAGCTTCTGAGACCCTACAAATATATTGTTAATACAGCGTTTCCATAATACATCCTTCAAACAGTTCCACCTGACCACTGTATCTCAAAGCAGTCTATTTAAAATGACTTCCAGACTTCTGGTCCAAAGCAAATCCTATAAAATGGAGCAAGTATACTTACCTCATTAAAATGTACCGATCTAGTGCAGAGGAGTACACTTGCCTGCAAATTGCCTCCCACACAGCTACCCGATCCTTCTATCCCAGGTGACTAAAGCCTTCCAGAAAAATCCTGCTCCATTTCAAGATACCAAGTACCACAACCCAACTTTTCACACTTGTTTTTAACCCCTTTCTCGTCTGTTCTAAGTTCTTCAGGGTTTTTTCTCCTCAGCTGATGGAGACTCCCACTGCATACAGTCAAGCACATAGGAGGATCCTGCTCGCACACGGCAAATATGTCTAGATCCCAACCTACCCTGCATTGCAGGACAACATCCAGATAGCAGTCACCACGTTAGCTTTAACCTTTGCAACTAAGCCCTTTTTGCCTAACAAGTTTCCAGCATCCGCTTCCAGATGCACAATTCCCATGACTCATTTCTACGGACCCCAATGTTTGTCATCTATTCCTCTCACCATGGTTACGTCATGGTCACCTCGTTGGCAAGCAAGCACCAGTGAGCTAATAAAGGTGTGGACTTTGGGCTAAGCCCCACCTAAGTTACCTGCTTTTGGAGCTGCAATATCCTGGGGGTAGCAGCCACATATAGCAATGCTTGTTGTAGGGAAGAGACAGGATTAATTCAAAGAACAAAGAATTCCGATTTGCTCCAGCTTATAAAGATGGACTAAAACTTTTTTTAATGTTTCTGTGGGCTGGGGAACTACATACAAAACATTAGTTTTGGTCAGTAAAGCACAAACAAGGTTTTCAGAGTAAGTTGTGACAGTAGCAGCTTACATTTTGAGATGGCCAAACTCAGATTTTCTTATGGGTCTGACATCTGGGAAGTGGCTATTCAGAAGTTCTTAAAGTCATAAGCCAGGTCCTTTAAAACTTAACTGGGACGGGAGAAAACAGCAACATGGAAAATCACTAGGGACATCTGATGCGCTTGGTTTGCAAGCAGATGCAGCTGACCTCTATCAGATCAGTCACCAAAGTCTACTGAAAATATTTAGTATACTGAAGAGAACGAGGAATCACGTACTGCGCCTGAAAGCAGAGAAACACCTACATCATGACACATCTATGAACACCAAACAAAACAGAGCTGTTTCATCCAACAGCACCCAAACTCTTTAGGGATAGAGGCAAACAAACAGTTGCACCTATTAATATACATAAGAAATAAAACCACTGATATACTTTTATGTTGTATTTAATTAGAGCAATAGAAAAGTAAATGATGATACCTCAGATCTCATGATTTACAGGTCTCATTAACTACAGGTGCTTTTTACTTTACATACATTAATTTACACCAGTCAACTAAGAATTTACAGCAATCATTAGACCATACGATGACAAAATTTTGATGTGATCAAAAAGAAGATGCAACACACAAACTCTCAAATATTGTGATATAAGCAGGTTATGATTCCTTTCCCTGCCCCCCAGAACAAAATAAGATACACATAAATGTAGAAATACTCTGATATCACTGATGTAAACGGTATTTATTTTTACTATAGTTTAAAAAGATCTTGTAGAAATATCTTTACTCACCTATTCCAAGGTAATTTTTAGGTTGGAAAAAAAGGAGGGAATATATTCCTCTATCAAACATTCCAAGAAACCAGTAGAGATAACAAACACACTACAGTTAAGTCTCTCCTGTATGAAGACAGGATGAGAAAGTTGGGGCTGTTCAGTCTGGAGAAGAGAAGGCTGCGTGGAGACCTCATAGCAGCCTTCCAGTATCTGAAGGGGGCCTATAAGGATGCTGGGGAGGGACTCTTCATTAGGGACTGTAGTGACAGGACAAGGGGTAACGGGTTAAAACTTAAACAGGGGAAGTTTAGATTGGATATAAGGATGAAATTCTTTACTGTAAGGGTGGTGAGGCACTGGAATGGGTTGCCCAAGGAACTTGTGAATGCTCCATCCCTGGCGGTGTTCAAGGCCAAGTTGGACAGAGCCTTGGGTGGTATGGTTTAGTGTGAGGTGTCCCTGCCCATGGCAGGGGGGTTGGAACTTGATGATCTTAAGGTCCTTTCCAACCCTAACTATTCTATGATTCTATGAAAACAGCACAGTTTTTAAACTTTGTCCTACTAGAAGTTACAGCATGTTCTTGAAATTTTATTTTCCTTAGTTTAGAAATAAACTTATTTATTGTTAGGTTACCTTAGAAACCTCTTACAAAAATTTTTCAAGTAGCTAAAAAAATTGACTTGTTTCACTTTTCAGTTGCCTAAATTGGGAATAAATATTAGAGATGATTAAACAATGAGCAAATCTTTATATACTTTGGAAACAGAACTTTTCATCTAATTGCTGTACAAACCACGGAAGTTCATGTTAGGTCAGGAACACAATTTTTATTCTATTAAGATTCCTTTTTGTCTTCCTTCCAGATGGAG